GGATGTCTTGCTCTGAGGGCTATGTGAGTACATGGAATTATTCTTTTCCCTTCTCTTGGAGATTTTTCTTGTTCACAAAAACACTGAAATCTGGTGAGATAGCAAACACAGTGTTTTTTAATAAACACTATGCTGAGCATCTACCTAACAGAATCCCAAGTCTGTTCATTTTTTAATGGATGTGACAGCCTACACAGCTAGCTGATGGTATCTTGTGAGAATTTTAGTTAAGCTTGGCTTTCTCTCAGCAAGCAAGAGTGAGTTCATAGAACTGGGAATCATAGAATGGCCTGGGTTGGAGGGACTCTCAAAGATCATCCAGTTCCAGCACCCTCCCATGAGCAGGGACACCTTCCACTGGAGCAGGTTGCCCAGAGCTCCATATCTGAGACTGTGGCAGGTTGCATTTGGGAAATGTCCTAAAGCAGTGTCCTAAAACCCTCAAACCTACTGATTGTAGTCCAGCCCCCTGACTGTTTGCAGATGAAGAAATGCTTTCCTCCAGGAATACCTATATATTTTAAACACGTACCATTTCCCAGCAGGTGTTTCCAGCTATGCTGTTATAATAAAAGCATCACCTAGTTGCTGTGTTTTTAGGAAGATGTAACTAACCTGTGCCCTAATCTTTTCTTTTCAGCTGAGCATGATCATTGAAGACATGTGCAAGAGGCAGGAGAGCACCCCTATCAACGAGCAGGTGTCACAGTGCTGCAATGAGCTCTACTCCTACAGGAGACCCTGTTTCACTGCCATGGGCGTGGACACCAAATACGTGCCCCCAGCATTTGACCCCATGATGTTCAATTTCGATGAGAAGATGTGCACTGCTCCTCCGGCCGAGCGCGAAGCAGGGCAGCTGAAGTAAGCTCCCATCAACACTTTGCAGGGCAGCTTTTGGCATAGAGCACTTTGGGAGTACAGAAGGAAGCTACACCCTGTTTTGTCATCTGACTGGGGCTTCACTAGTGACACAGAAAACCAGAGCTATATGTTTGCACTGACCTGGTCAGCCTATAACATCACGTCGTTTGGAAGAGGCAAAAGAGAATTTTTTCTTCACTTAAAATCTCTCTCTCAACTGACCAGTTTCATGCAGGCCCATTGCCAGCGCAAATCTTGAGATCTACTTAATTAGGACAACATACAGATCATTTCCCTAAGTTTTTACCCAGTTGTAACTGAGTTAATACAAAAGAAACTGATGGTTTTGTCAGACTGGGAGTCCCCAACAGGCACAGGGTCACCTAGGCATGACAAAAAACCTCTCAAAGGAGCTGAGTCTTGGGGGAATGGTGTCTTGTAAAGCAAGAATCCGACTACAGCAGGAAAGATTAATTGTGTCTTGTGGCTTTCTTTTCAGATTGCTCGTCAACCTCATCAAGCGCAAGCCCCAGATGACAGAGGAACAATTAAAGACAATTGGTGGGAGTTTCACTGCCATGATGGACAAGTGCTGCAAGCAGGCAGATGTTGAGGGATGTCTTGGGGAAGAGGTACTTTCTATCTCTTTAAAAAAAAAAAAACAAAAAAAACCCCACACAACAAAAAGAAACCAATCACAAAATACACACACACAAAAAAAAAACCCCACTCCAAAACAACAAAAAAACCCAAATAAAAACAACCAAAAAAACCCCAAACCACACACAGGAGCCTGGAAACTGAGCACTGGAAAGTTGTTCTGCCAACCGTAGTGGTCACTTGTCCATGTGCCCTTACAATGACTGGACAGAGCTCACTGTGAATCTTGGCTGCACAGATCACAGTCACTGAACACTTTCACATGGAAAGATTGTCTGGAGGTAGTTTAGTCAAACTCAAAGCACACCTCAGTCCTAGATTAGATGAAACTCTCTCAGGTCTTGTCAGAAAAGCCAAATATCTACAAGCCACAGTTGAAAAATAGCCATGTGCAGAATTTAACTTCATCTCTAGCATACATAAACTTCCTCTTGTGCTACAGAGCCTCACAAAATTCTGGGATTGCCAGTAAAAAGCATCTGGATCAATTCTCAGGAAACACAGACACATTGGGAGTTTGGCTGATTGTCACAGAAGAGGTTTATCTGGAGCCATGTGCCATTGCCAGGAAGTGTAAATGACAGTTTGCAGTAGCAACCTCATTACACTGTAGGGCACAGAACTATTACTAATATCTTAAAGTGTTATTATTTGAATTATTTTTTTATTTATATCCAAAGTGTAACATAGTTAAACATACTGGGAAGACTTAGGAAAGAATTATTTTGTCTCCAATCAGTTCCAAAAGTTTCTTTCCCTCTCTGACAAAAGTGGAAGACACACAACACCTGGCGGCTCCTAGGGTCAGGAAGCACCACCAGAATTATCCTCTGAACCACAATCCAGGCACGAGTTTCAGTTTCTAGCAGTTCCTTCTCAAGCACAACCTGCTTTTGTCCTTGGCTTCTCGCTGACAACTGTTTGTGTTCCCTTTCCCAGGGTGCTGCCCTAATAGTCCAGAGCAGAGCCCTGTTGGGAATTGGTGTGTAACCTAAGGTAGGTAGCAGCACTGACACACAAACCCCTCTGGCTGTCAGTCTGTCTGCCCCTTCCTGCCCACCCTTCCCCCTGCTTAACTTCCTTATCCCCAAAGAGCTTCCAGCTTCCCTTTAACCCCACCTGTGCCTTCCCCAGTTGTTTTACCATCTGCCAGTGCTGCCATTTACAAACCACTCCCTTTTGTCTCTCCAATCCAGGCTGCTGGTGAGAAAAACACGAAGAAAAAACTTCCTGTGTAACTTCTCCCACCCCTTACCCGTTTTCATTCGGTACTGAATGAATATTTTTCATTAATCTTCTGTGTTTTGTCACACTGTGAACTTTTCAATTCCTTCACTAAAATAATTAAAAAATAAAGGCTTTATAAAACCATACCTGTCCCTGTCTGCTGGTGACCACCATGAGGCAAAGCTCAGCAGTGCTGCCTCCACCAATGGCCGTTCTCAGTAGAATATATGATGACAGAGTCTGTATTTCAGATTTTTTTTTTCTGCTTATTGCTCTCGGAAAGTTTTTATGAAAGAATATGAAAATTTAGCTAGACTTTAACACCCTGATTTGATCGCATGTTGATTTTAGACTTTACTTCAGCCATTATAAATTAAGTTTCAAAGGTACTGTTTGATCTAAAGACAACGATTAGCAAGGACCTGATCTAAAACACAAAAATTATTTTACACCAAGCACAGATCAAGCATCTCTTCATTTGCAAAGAGTTGCAAACAGCCCTGCTTTTAAGACTCTCTTCATCTCTTAACTCGATTTTCAGGAAGTGTTGTAAATTTTCCCCTGAAAAGCTCACCACCTAAATCATGCCCTTCACTACAGCAAACTCCCCGGAGAGACATTTCCTGCTCCTATGCCAACAGAACCGTGTCATTTGCTAGGACACATTTCAGTCCATCGGCCCGGGGCGGCTCAGCCCGGCCCCGGCTCCGCTCCCAGTCCCGCCGCCGCTCACCGGCTCCGCGGCACCGAGGCAGAGCAGGGGCGAGTGCCGCCGCCGGCTGCGTTCGGCCCAGCTCGGCTCGGTTCGACTCGGTGAGAGCGGCGCGCGCCGGGCCGGGGCGCTGTGCGGAGAGCGGCGGCCGCTCCCGTTGAACACCGGCGTCCCCTCAGGGCTGCGTTTGTCCCCACCCTTTCTCCTGGGGGCCCGGCTGCCGCACGGAGGGAGCGCCGCGGCGATGGGCTGTCGGTTTCCCCGAGGAGGCTCCGGCAGCGAGGGCGTGGGCGGGTCACGTTTCACACGAGACCCGTTCGTGCTCCGAAGCTGAGCCTAAGCGAGCCCTGCTCAGCCCAACTCGGCTGAACAGAAGAGACCATTACGAGCCGGGCCAATCGAACCCAGTTCAGCCGAACCGAACCGCGCTCGGCCGAACCCTGGCTGCTGCTCTCGTGCCCACTGATTAGCGCGACTGCAGTCACAGCCTAATGATCTCCTGCCTGACCCCGCGCTCCCGTCCGTGTCCGTGCGAGGGCCGGGCCGCGGCAGCAGCAGAACCGCCGCCGCCCTCAGGGAGCCGAGCGAAGCCGAGCCGAGTTCGGCCGAACCGAGCCGAGTACGGCAGAACGCCCCCGAGCGTCACCGAGTTTGGCCGAACTGACCCGAGCTCAGGGAGCCGAGCCGAGCCGAGCCGAACGCAACCAGCGGCTCCGAGTTCGGCCGAACTTTGCGAGCGGCTCCGAGTTCAGCCGAACCGAGCCGAGCTCGGCCGAACGCAGCCTCCTGCTCTCGTGCCCATTAATTAGCGCGTGTGATGGACTTTTAGGCCAAAGTATTTCCCTGTTGATTTCCCTGCCTCTGTTTCCCTCTTGCCTTCCCTGTGCTGTCTCAGCCCGCTGAACTTCATACCCCAGAACGGCCTTGGCTCCCCTCCACCCTCCAGTAAATCCCATCTTCCCTACTTTTCTCATGTCCCTCTCTTTACTGCTTTCCTTAGCTTAACAAACCCCCCCTGCCCCGCAAGCTTTGTTTTCAGGCACATTCGGTTCGGTTCATTCGGTGCCGCCTCAACGGCGCCCCGAGCGCCCCCTGCCGGAGCCCCGCTCCGCCGCTCGGGCTCGGCTCACGGCCGGGCACCGCCGGGCCCCGCTCCGGCTCCTTGCCGCTCGCTGCCCGGGGCCCGTCGGCAGCGCGGAGCAGCCCCTGGCACCCCCGGCCGTGTGTCCCTGTAGGGCCCTGCCCGCTCCCCGAACCGGACCCGTGTCACCCGGGTTTGGTCCCTGATCATTCCTGCTGAGAAGCGATCCCAGCTCTTCCCCGGTCCCGAACGGCCGCTGCTGCCAGAGGCCCGGCGTGGAGAGGGGGCAGCCGGGTCGCGTTTCACACCAGACCAGTTCCTGTCCGGACTGCCCTCCGCGGGCCTGCAGGCCAGCAGCAACACACGGGTGTGACACACTGCAGCCCCTGGGATGAAGAGGCTCGTTTCTGCAGCATGCTTCATTACACAGGGACACGAACCTTGGTCGACGCTTACCTCGAGTCTTTTTCTTTATTCTTTCCTGTAAGCGGTTTGATGGTGGGGCCCGGGGCAGCACGGAGGGACTGAGCCCGCTCTGCACAGAGCACCCCTCTGCCCCCAGCACAGCAATGCCTGTGTGCACGCTGCAGGAGCACATCAGCAGAGGCCCACATGCCAGGGAAAGTCCAAGTGCTCCTTCTCAGGGAAACGTCAGCAGCTCTTGCTGCCCCTGCGATGCTCCAGGGGAGGCTTAGAGAGAGCTGCTGCGCTCTGCACCTGCCCTGAGAGGCTCGAGTTTCTTCTTGCTGCTGAGGAGGGGACCTAGTCCTGATGACGCAAACAATGACCCACTGTGTCCCAGACAGACAGCCCCTGACGTGTGCTCCAGGCAGAGCACACCCACTCCTTCCCGGCTTCTGGCCAAGTTTGTGTCCCTGTCCCTTAGGACAAATGTGGTGTCCACACACTGCCCGGCAGCACATGTGGAGCTGCACTTTGGGACTCACTGCTGCGAGGGCTGCAGGGCAATATGGGCTCCTGTGGGCAGGGAACTGCTGCTCCTCGGTGCCCCGTTGTACCAGCTCTGGCTTAACTACCCCATGTCACCTCTCAGGGACTCCAGGGTTAGGGACAGGCAGGCAATGAGGCCTGCGGTGCAACAACGCAGCCAAGAGGAACTTTGTGTAAGCATCTGCAAGGGCTGCTCTCAGCTTTAATCCCTACACACTTCCCACAGCTCCCACCCTTCGAGGGAACAGCAAGTGCTGCAGCATCATTACCAAGATGTCTCCTTTCAGCTCAGGCTCAGGAAACACGAGGCAGAGCACAGGCCAAAGGGACAATGACTTCCCCATCTGCTTTTCTTTCTTCCCCTTGCAAGAAGCCAAGCTTCAACCAGACATCAATGGCTTTCCTAAGGATTAGCAGGCAGCCCACCATCTTCTACCATGTCCAAAAGATCACCATTCCAAGCTGGGTTTCTCCCCATGATGTGCAAAACCTCAGCAGTCACTGTACTGCAAAGGCTTCTGTAAAAGCACGGGGCTTTGGAAAGGTGCTGGAACGTGAGCACTGCCAGGGGAGGGCGAGGCCTCTGCGGCACCCAGCAGTCGCTGCTGTGACACCCCTCGGCTGTGCTGCCATGTCCTCTTACCTCCACTCAGCTCCGATGCTGAGAGCAGGTGCTCCTGAACAATCTGAAATATGCAAGACTTCCTGGCACAAGCAAAACCAGGTCCTGGCTGACGCCGTGGGGTTTCACACCCATTATCTCCTGCCCTTGCCCTCAGCCCCAGAAAACATGAACCAGCACAATTCACCTCACAGCTCAAGGCACCACGGTCTGGATGCTGCACGCCCTCATTGGTGGCACAGGAGATCGTGCTTCTCTGGACATCTCTGGAGATCAGCAGATCTTGTAGCTGTGGAGGGTGCTCCTCTGAGGAATTTTTGGCAACTCTGGCTTTGGGACTTCTACAGGATCCAGTTTTCTCATTCCAGTATCCAGCTCACATGACTGTGTTACTTTTCAGTCACTTCCTAACTGCCTTTTATCAGGAAATATTACAGGTAAGACATGCAACAAGCATCTAACAGGAACTTCAGAGATTCCATGATTTGGCCACACCTTATCTATGAGCAGTGCAAGAATTAACCCTTTTACCAACCTTTTTGGGTAACTGCTAACAAACACCAGAAGTACAAAACCAGGAAACTGAGGGCAATCACTTCTGCACCATCACAACTCAGTGGCACTACAGTGGAGAGTAAGCAGCTCTGGTCTGTTTGTTTTGAAGACAGCTCAGCTCACATTCCTCCCAGCACCACTGCAATAACCATTTAAGCTGCATCCCGCAGCTGCAGCCTGGCAGGGTGTGCAGAATCCCAGCTGGGACACGTCTGAGAGGAGTCCCAGAGGAGCTCACATCCTCCCAGGGCCACACACACACACACCCCAGGGTGAGAGAAGCCACCAAAGTCAAACACTGGAAAGCACATGGTGCTGTGCTGCTGCAGCTTGCCACTGTCACTGGCCAGGTCAGCAACGATGTTCTTACAATCTTTCCTGTGAGCGGGGGCTGCCAGGGCTCTACAGCCACCTGCATGCAAGAGAATTAGGGACATGGATAAATGCTGCAGACATCAGTAGTTTATTGGCATGTTTAGTCAAAACACATTCAGAATGGAAACTTGAAAGTAAAAATACTTTCCACCTGCAACAATTAAACTAGAATCTACTAGCATATAATGCTCGACAAATTACAGCAATAAAGATGGTAATCCACTGTCTTGAATACCTACTAAAGTCAAGATGGTCAGCCAAGTTTGTTGAAGTAGAACCGTAATGACAAAATACTCCCACCATTCACAAATCAGCGACTAACAGTAATGGTCAGTGAATGCCTTCCTTTGCTCTAAGAGGTACATTTACTATTAAGAGGGTCAAGAACACGTAAGAGTCCACAGTACAGCAGGTGAGCTATCACCATGTAAACTTCTCTGGATGATGTTCCAAGGGTTCGTGTCAACTTAAACAAGAAGCAAGCCAAAAAGCAGAATGGCTCAGGAGCTCTTTTTACTACTCCGTTTCTGTTGTCAATTATTTCCAGTGCCATTTGCCATACAAACGATTTAGGTGGCAGCAGAACACCACAGCACTACAGAAGGAAAAAAGAACCTCCAGGCTACACAAACCACACTGGTGGCAAACTGCTAACTGATGACAGCAAGTTGTCCGAGGGCTTCAAACCTAACGCATGGAGTTGTGTGGCGAGCAGTTCAAGTACTACAGATTTCCAGGTAACAGCTGAAATGGCAAGACCTTCAACAAAAAAACTGAAATATGAAAATGCCAATTGCTAGAAATGTGTCCCAGAAAAGAAAGTGTATGAAAATAGTGCAAGACTTACCATGGAACACAGAAGACCTCAAGTCTGGGAGAGAACAGACACAGATGCCACTTCCCCCTGCCTAGCATATCAGAAAAGATGAGCACAATCTTCCACATTACTCGAAACCAGCAAACGACTGCATAATCCAGAGCCAGACTGCCAGGATGCCCTCCCTGCTTTTGCTCGGAACTGCCCTTCTTCTTTAACTTGATGTCTTCCATGCTCAGGAGTGGCTGTCGGCGGTCACGCCTTTGCACGGCCGCACGCACAAACACCCCTTGGCTCCTGAGCCCGGAGCCAGCACTCGTGGCAAGGCCCAGCACAGCCTGCACTGCCTGGGCAGTGGCACTTTACAGGAACGTGCTCCGGGACATCATCCAGAAACACAGCTCTCCACGCAGAACCCGCCAGCCAAGCCGCAGAAGAGGATGCCTCCTTTCTATCCTCGGGCCAGAGCCACATCAGTGTCAACATCAGCTGAGAGTTATGTGCAAAATGAGTACAAGTTTTTTTAAAAAGTGCAACTGGAAAATGCAAGAACTTAAGAGCTGCTGTTTAGTTCTCTGAAAATTGCAGTATCCCCGTTTGATAAGCTCACCTTCACAAAGGATGCTTAGGTCTAGCCATTACGAGGTGGCCAGAAGCGTCCACCGTTCTGGACTGACTTCTGAAATTCAGGTCCAAGAGAGATTAGAACTCCGCTTTCTTTAACTCTGACACTGATTAAAGAAAAGAGACAACCTGGAGACTACTTGGATGCCTTCATCCTCCCTTCCCCCCCACTGCAAAAAAACCAGGCAAACTTGTTAATTGAAGAGCAAGGTGGATGATCATTTTAGCAACGTTTACTCATTGAAAGATACTGCAATTTTTTTAATACAGTTTTCCAATTATTTAAATGCTTTGCAGCCGCTTGGCTTTGCAGCACAGTACTTCATACACTATACTGTACAAAATCACCAGCAAGACTGGAATGATGTATTCATAGAAGGCACCATCATGCTTATTACATTACCAGAGAACTCAAATACAGTCAAGACAAGTTCCACTGTACAACGCTTCTCGAAGGGGGAAGGGGGAGTGTGTTGAGCAGCCATCCCTGCACTGAAGAGGGGCAGATAGAAAAATCTGACGTGAGCTATCAAACTTGTTGCATACTCAGGGCTACGACTTGGAAACTCTGGGTTCTCGTTACAGCTAACGGGATTCCTTCTGGAACAAAGGTGTAGTCTTATTAAGGTTTGTGTGTATACAGAGGTTGGTCACAGCAAGCAGAGCAGATGCCCGCATCGTTCCCCAAGCTATTCTGTCTGAGTAAGAGGATGAAGGTTTTCCCTCCGATGCCTCCTGCAGCTGTCAGTATAAATGAGTTCAGAGGACCCATTAGTGCATTTTGATGAGTGCGTAAACACGAGTTTGTTTGGAGCCGAGTGTTCTAAGAAGGAAAAAAAAAAAGGCAAGCTTCTCCAATTGCACAAATTGCACTATTTGTGTTTCCAACAGTAGTAGGCAGAAACGGTAACACACAAAATGTGCAGCAGAGGGTTTTTGACTGAAAGGACCCGAATTCTACTGGGCATGTCCTTTAGTTCAACTTCTGTGGCAGATAGTTAACCGGTCTTTTCTTTTGTTTCTTTTTCTTTTTTCTTTATTTTTAGTCTTCAATTCTCCACGTATACATTTATAAATTAAGAGTGTGACTCCTGTTGTGAAACTGGGGAAAAAATGTCCACCTCAATTTAAACTGGAAACCAAAGGATGTTTTCACATCAAAGAAACGATCAGAAGGGCTGTGTCACATTCCAAAGCTAAAAAAAAAAATGAACAAGAATGCAAACACGATGGATAATGTACCACTGCCAAGACTGTCTGCCCACAGTGGAGATTTCAGCGACGCTGTCCAGTGAAACGGCCTTCCATCTGCCCGGTTCCTCGTCCAGAGCCAAGTTTCTGTGCCATGCCACCCCGTGGAGGAGGTCCTCTCCCGTCGCGGTCCCGCATCATGCCTCCGCCCACTATTCCGCGGGGCCCGCCCGGGCCTCTCTCATTGCGGCGGATATCCCTGCGCTCGTCGCCGCCACCGCGCGTCTCTCGCTCACGGGCGGCTCTGGTTTTTTTCTCTTCCACGTTCAGGCGCACCTCCCCGCGGAACATTATGGGCTTGTGGGGAAAAGCGGTCAAGGCACACGTTAGTCACCGCGGCACAAAGCCCATTCCATGCAAGGCACATGAGAGCTCTGCCCTGGCTGTGGGCCCCGGCCTTCCTTCGCGTACACGACCTGTTAAGGGATCCCCGCGGCATGCAACCTTAGCCCTGCAGAACACCATTTTTACATTCACTCGGGCAGGAATTAAAGTGTTTGTCTCAAGCAAAAGCAGCGCTGTCTTTAGCCTCTTCACTGCCAGCTTTAGTCTTTTCACTTCAGGGTCGAAGCTCTGGAAGAACTGCTCTACTAAGTCTGTCTCCCACACCACAGAAATGAAAACTGCTGCTTTCTCCCCTCCAGCTCCTCAAAGCAAAAGAGCAAATAACCCTGCTCCCTCCTCTCGACCCCAGGGTGCAGAATTCAGAGATCCATGTGATGCTCTTTGAAAGGTCACCTGCTCCCCTTTCAGCTAAAGGATCTCTAAAAATAAGTTCTGAGCTCTTGTGGAGCACTTGTGTAGAGGTAAAAAACTCAAATTCCACATGGTGCAGTTTGAGGATCACTGGCAAAGCTTTTAAAGCTACACAGCACTCCGGACAGAATGCGTATGCCAAAACTGTTTTTCTTTCAGCTGTTTTTTGAATGCCAGAGCTAATGCAAATGCAAACTAGGATGGTCCATAATACATGTGGTTTAGGGCTTTTGGTACGTCCTTGGAAGGGGATACTCAGTACCCAATGCCAATACTTACTTTTGCAACTAAAATTCGCTGGACTGGCTCGGAATCGTCAAATACCACGAAACCAAAATTAGGCAGTTTTCCTCCCACTCCCTTAGTATTTATGCGAAGTTCTACCACATTTCCAAAGCCTGGAGAAACACAAGGGAAGAGACACTTCAAGAAAACCCGCAGTGCCAGCTCTACCCTCCGCTCGTTCCAGACATCTGTAGTGTGGCACTATGTCAAAGCTTACCCATGTAGTCAAATCAGTGTTACCTGACTTTTTAACACAGTTTTCCATCTTAGTCCCTGCAGCTGGAATCACTACTTACTCATGAAGAACTCCTTCAGTTCACTCTCATCAATGTCGTGTGGCAAGTTCCCAACAAAGAGCTGGTGGCTGTCTGGATAGCGAATTATCCGACGATTATCCGACTCATTCTGCTCCATGTCTCCCCTTCCTACCGTCAACACAAAGAGGAAGGTAGAACCACTGAGGTTAAAAGATGTGTGTAAACCTCCACGAACACATCCAGGGCAGCATCAAGCATTTTCACTCCAGCCAGCCTGGACTCCAAAGCATACTC